ACAAATTGAAGTACCGACCAGTTCTCTTATTAAATGAAATTTATCCATATATCAACTACACAGTCAGCGTCATAGCGATTTCTCCGCCAGTGATAATGGTGGGGTGTGTCATCAATGGTCAATCTATTAATGCACAAAGTAATATTTTTATATTGTAGATATTGACAATTTTAATATAAACTATGACTTAATTTCAATATTATATTTAATTTAAGTTTCACTTAGATGTAATGTATGATTTTTATATGATCACTTTAATATGTATAATAATAATATAAACGATTTTCTGTCGAAAAATTAATGTCGAGATTATCTTAATCTAAAAAAAAAAAAATGTCTATTTAAGATTTAAAAAAAAGATTATTACGACAAATATTGGTTGGATTAATAATAGTATTAATATTTAAAATTGTTACAACAATAATCACTAATCACTTTTATCGTTGCTTTTTTATGTAGGTTCTTCAAAAAATGACGCCAAAAATATGCTTGCCATCTGGGTATTGAAACACTTTTGCGAAAATGAAAGTTATAACGGCGCACATACACATAAGCGCGTAAAAAGGTCTTTTTCAAGACCAACAGTGTGTACGAAACCACACGTTGACAATTTAATTTCACACTTTTGTCAGGGAAACTTGACTGACGAAGGTGGTTTGTAAAGAAATAAGTTACAAGAGGCTGATGAGGGAAAAACGCACGCACCAATCAAGTAACCCGCACCACTGCAAAAGTGCGACATTCTCTCGTCACTCTTAATAAACTCAACCAACCGGCACCGGAATTCCCCATAAATGCATTATATATAACGGACAACGGTGCAGCTACAAAACTTAAATCAGTCTTCATCCTAACCCTCAACTGTCAAAACATAATAGTACAATCAGGTGCCACCAGTGGCATACCTGAAGCGTATCCCGATTTTTATATATTATTATATTATTGTCACCAAGTGACATATATAACGGCCATTTTACGACTGATCCACTTAATTGCAGGCTTGCTGCACGTTATCGTTTGTGATACCCAACCCCGACGACCGCCAGTTGTCAACCAGTTGCACACCAGCGACACACAACCCTGAAGACGATTCAATGACCAACCGACGAATATACCCCACGCCGATTAGGACTAGTCTCAGTGGAACCAAAATTGTCCTTTTCAGGACAACCTCTATATTGTTTAGGTCACACTTATCCGAATGAGACTCACGAAACGGATGCCACTTTCATAGGCCCCGACGTGATCAGATCTCGTTCCCCACCCAATGTATGTACATACTACGAGCTAGTATTTATTATATATTGAACATTTGAAACACGTTGTTCCCATGTTTGTTCAAGGTTTCGAAGACCGCTACGCCATCGGTCCCCGATTCCTCATTTTTGTATATAACGTTATATTTACACAGAAATAAAAGAATTATTATTTACCAAATACCAACGAGTTCATTTTTACGAGACAGCAGCGCATTTAGCGTGCGTGCCGTATCATATAGTTTTAAATATATATTATTGATTATTATAAGGTATTAACAGCATGTACAATTCAATTTAATTAGATAAAATAGATACTTTGGTGAATGATATAGATGCATGTAACCAGGCTGTGCCGTTAAGATTTGGCGCCCAGGACAAAATTAAACCGTTAATACGGTAAGTACGGTAAGTACGGTACATAAAAAAGCTTTTGTTGCACGAGGTAATTTTTTATATTGTAACATATTTCTATTAACAACTAATATTTTAATACTTTTTTTCATTCCTTTAAATATTTCAGATAAAATGTTTATAAAATAATCAGTTATTATTGGTATTAATTTATACTTAACAGCACCAACAAAAAAAGATACAAAGGTAAAAATCAGCATTATGGCCCTAAATTATTTTAATGGGTATGATTATTTACGATATTTATTAATTTCTATCTTTTTCATCAATAAATACATAACATTATTTAATTTCAGCTATGACCATTTCCTTGTGGAGAACAAGAAGGATGGATATCGCCAAAATTATTAAAGAGAATTCGTTGAAGAACACAAAACAATATTAAATTAACAAATTGTTTAATTTCTTTTTACACCTATTATCCGTCATACCTACACAGTGACTTAGGCTCTCAATGTCTAAGTTATCACTCAATACCTTTATTATTTTAATATTATAGCCTAATTTTTGTCATATATATTATATTTCCAAATTATATACACTATACATAATTGTTATATTGGAAACAGTGTCGGCCTGGCCATGGCCACTAGGCCGCGAACGCATTCGGGGCCCCCGGCGGTATTTACTATTTATGTCAAGGGGCCCCGATACTATTCAAAATATAATATTTCACTACTTATAATCATTTTTTTTTTTATCATTTTATGGAAATAAAATGTTTGGAGGCCCTTCTGAAGAAATGCGTCCGGGGCTCTTTAAGTAGGTACCAGGCCGACACTGATTGGAAATATAATTGTTATGGCTAAAATATGAAAATAATAATGATATTGATTGATTACTTATTCATCGAGTTCTTATATCATTGTGTTGTGACGGTAATCTGTTTAAAAAGAAATGATCGAATTGATTAGTTAAATGTTTTTATACTTAAATTTAAATGCTTATTGTTACTGTATGAAATAATACCAATAAAACATAAAATGTATTATATAAAAGTTATACATATATACCGCCAGCATGAAATACAGCAGTAATTTCATTATAAATAAATAATATATTTCAAGCATATAATATTGTTATATTAATATATAGTAGAATTGATAAAAATGACAATTGACAATTGATTAAATATGTATAATTTAATAAAATTGATATTAAATTTGTGACTTGCAGTTTTTAAAAAATTTAACTCCATTTAAAATTAAAATAAATAAAAAAAAAAAAACTGTAAATCTGTATAAAAGTGTGAAACTGTTAAAGCGTCAGTCACGGTGTCACAGTGACAGTACAAAGTATTAATAAGTAGAAATTATAAAATGAAAAACCAGTATACTTGAATGCATTTCTAGCTAAAAGGTGAATACGATGTGATAAGATTAAGTCAAATGCAATATACAGACGCGATAATAATGTACGCAGTATTATTTCATTACGATAATACGATATAATGGTTTTGCGATATTTTGGTCACGCGATTTTTTACCGGAGATATTGTTACGAGTTACCTATTCAATATTATATATAAAAGTATTAAGATGCATATGCATAATTTGTTATCCCATTTAAATAACAATTAATTGATTATTATTATAATTATCATATCCCATATGTAGGTAATTATGTGGTAAATGATGATCATTAATTGTTTCTAATTAGGTAATATGATTTTTTTGAATATTTCGTTATTTTA